TTTTATTTTGCATTTTTTTGGGAGTATTTCTCATATAGGGCAAAAATCACGTGCTTACAATGGATACCCTCAGTCTGTTTGGAGCAAACTCCCTTGACTTTATCTTGTAAATTGAGGTGTACTTGAACTCAAAACTGCTCACTTCAAATCGTTGGAACGCACTTTCTTGTAACAAGTTATTGTCCTCCCATTAACTCCCAAACTATCTGCCCCAGTTTCACACAATTCAGGCTTTAAGTGATCTAAAAAATCCCTTTACTTACTTCCCTCAAATGTCCCTATCATCTTCAAATTTATTTTATTGCTTCATGATTAGACTAACTTTTAAGACCAGGTCTAGAATTATGCGTGCATTTCATGTTACTAGAGTAAGTAGGAAAAGAACTACAAAAGGAGAAGAGAACTAAACAAAAAAAAAGGCTAGAAAAAACATAAAACAGAAAATTGCATTAAACAGATGGTGAAAGAGTTTGAACAACAAAACAAGCAAAATAAACTAGGTTACAACCCCGAAACAAACCTAGATAACACTAAATGAGTTACTATGACTAAACGAACTAGGCAAAATAAAAGGATAGAAGGGTTTGAGTCATAAGACAATATCTGGATTACAACCCTGAAATAACTGGACAACAGAAATGACAACAAAATAAACCACCAGAACTCCTCCCTAGTTAGACAATAAAGGAGCATCTTTACAATCACCAAGTTCAACATCTTAGCCACTGAGTCTGCATCAACAATATTAGGACCTTCACAAGTCTCCATCACATTGACCTTAGCAAATTGCTTTTGGGTCCCTTTTGTCAGCTCGTTCTTAAGATCAACTTTCGGAACCGAGGGTGATAGCGCTGAAAGCTTTGTGGCAAGTGGACCTTCGAGGATCTTAGAAGAATTCTCATATTCCTTTTCAACACAAATCATACCCACCATATGTGTCTCATTATGAACAAGCGATGGACTTTGGCTAGTGTCTACTGTATCTGGATTTTGCACGACAATGTCACCTGCATCAATAAGCTTCTGAACTGATCTTTTTAGATGCCAACACTTTTTTGTGCTATGACCCGGGGAATTAGAGCAATATGCGCACCTTTGAAAATTATCAAAATTCTTTGGACGGGGGTTCGACTTTTTTATCTGAATCGGCTTCAACATGTCTAATTGCCTCAACTTTTGGAACAAACTAGCATATGATTCTCCAATAGGAGTGAAAGTCTTTTCTTTTTTCTGTTGCCTTTTCATTTTGTACTCTGGCCTCGGTTGGAACCTTTTGCGGGTAAGTGGTTGATATGCTTGAGGAGGCGGGTAGGATATTTGCGAAAATGGTGCAGGCCACCGCGGGTCCTGTGGATGTGAAGCACATGGTGGTACATTGTGGATGGAGTACTGGGAAGGTATGGTGTGACTTTGGGGATTTTGTAGAGAGAAGTAGCATTGAGGAGGATTATCTGGAGCACAGGGATATCCATGGGGTCGATATTGAGGCTGAAAGCATTGAGCAGGAATGCCCATTGGATCTTGTCGTTGGCGGGGCTCAACGACATCCTTTCTATTTCTCTTTCTTCCACCCGAAATTACTGAGATGTTCTGAACGTCTTTTGTAGTATCTTTCAATGTAGAATAACTCATGATTTTGCCTGACTTGATTCCTTTCTCTACAACCTTCCCCATTTTTACCACATCACTGAAAGGTTTACCCAAGGCGGATGACTGAAGTAGGTGGGCCCCTGTACTTATAGGAAAAGTTCAACCATTTCTTCTTCACCAACTGGAGGGCTGACCCGAGCAGATTGTTCCCTCCATCTGAGGCCAAACTCCTTAAAACGTTCATCGGGTTTCTTTTCCATCTTAGATAGGGAAGAGCGGTCTGGGATAATGTTTAGATTGTATTGAAAGTGTCGAACAGAATCTTGAGCCATGTCATGCAATATATGCCATTTACTGACATCTTGACGTATATGCCATTCCAAGGCTGCCCCAGTTAAGCTCTCACTGAAATATGCCACCAAATCATCGTTCCCGCCAGCACTTCTCATTTCACTGCAATAACCCCTCAGATGGGCTACTGGATCTCCACGCCCATCATACAAGTTAAACTTTGGTATTTTAAATCCCGCGGGCAGATGAACATCAGGGAACATACACAAGTTATTGTAAGACATGTTAATCTGATTTTCCATCCCTTGCATGCTCCTTAAGGACTATTCTATACCTTTCAGCTTCCTGGATATCTCATCTCGCCCTTCTTTTCCTATGAACTTTTCATTTTCAACATGAGGCTCATTCCGAGGGTTCTGATTGTATGAGTGAGGAACCTTGTGGGCAACCTCTGAGGGGTAATATTGGGCATTATGAGCTTTGAGTGGGTGTTCATTGTTGGATCTATGACACTACAACAAAAAATACTTTTAGCGGCAATTATTTTGTGGCAATAGCTTAATGGCCGCTAATTCATTTATGTATGGAGAAAGATTACTGGCAAATAGATATTGGCCAGGAAAAGATAGTCTTGTACCGGAAAAAAAATGACTGGCCACTAAAGCAACTAATTCAAAAGAAATTTTACTATTTTATCTTCCCTCACTTTTTTTAACACCACTTGGATATTCCCTCCAATTTCTCAAAATAACAAAATAAAATTTGGAAAATTTGGGAATACTGCACAAAGACTCGACCTATCTCGCCGCTGCTAAAACCATCACTGCCACTGCAACTCATTTCTATCTCACCACCGGCCACCAATTTCAGGTAACACAACTATCTCTTTCTACTCTCTTGTTATCTCACCCGTTTATTTATTAGATCTCATACATATTTTCATATTTCTCTTTCTTTCTTTTACAGTTCTCCGATTCGAAATGATAGTGTATGTATGTATGTATAAATCCTTGTACATATATTTATACACATGAATTTCTGTTAATTTTATTCTAATTTGATCAATTTTCCTCACATTCTCACAATTGCTAAGGTGATTTTTGTATATCTAGGGTTGGAGTAGTTCCCCTTCATCATTTTTTGAGAAAATCAAATGGTCGCTCCACCTGCTTTAGCCTATCACGATTAGAGATTACCTCATCAAGCTCCTTTTGATTGGCAATAGCAGTAAGTTCATTTTTTGTGTGTACGTGTGTGTATGTGTAATAATATTTATGCATTTGATATGTCGAGGGGAAGGGATTCCATATTGAAAATAGTCTTTGACAATGTTTAGCTTAGTGAACTTCTCCTTGAAGTTGTTTGGTTAAACTATTTGTCCGCAAATTTTTTTTAGTATTGGTGATAACTTCTGTAAAAGAATAGAGAAGAACGCTTCAAGTATAGAACCTTGTGATTGAATATGTGGATACTCTATTATAAAGATGAAGGCTTATTATTGAAGATCTTGCCTTTGCTTCTGAAGTTGAATAGTTTAGATGATTATTTAGATGCTTGGTTGTTGACAGAACTTTTGACCTTGTGATAATTTAATTTTTGACAGACGTTTTCTCTCGTTAGCAAGCCCAATTATAAAAATGTATCAAAATAGGTAGGCTTCCTTCTTAACTTCAGGTTTCTTTATAGTACTTTTACTTGTTTTTTATAGTACATTGGAGAAATGTCTCCAAATGGTGATATTTTATAATTCCTCTGAAGGAATACCTTATTTCTTGATTTTGTTATTGTTCTTGAGCGGATTCCGAAATTGAGACATGATGTTCCTGGAGTACCAATTATACTTGTTCGAACGAAGCTAGGTTAGTAACTCTTATTTAGTCTAATTTCATTGTTAACTCATTAACTGTTCAGTTTTTAAACTAATATATCTATTTGGTTCAAGTGATATTTGTTGTCTACATTCTATCTGTCAACTTTGTCAACTTCATTTTCATTGTCGATAATTTTATTAGACTATGATTGTATTCTTTTCTGAATATCTTGTCTTCTCTTTATGGAAGAGAATGGAATGTTAGATATATGCCCTATGTATGTGGATGAACACTGAAATATTATATTAAAAAAGAGAATATTTTTTCTTTATAGTTTTCATTGTCAAAAGTTATTGAGTTATTTTTATATATATTTATTGTTACTTTGGTATGCTGAAAGATGGGCTATATTGTTGATATGCTATTAGTAGATGAATAATTTGAATTAAGTATGATTAGGCATGAGGTTGAAAGGTGTTTTCTTGAAGTTTCATTTATTGTTTGAAGAGAGCAAAAAGCTGAAAGTTTAGGAGTTATAATTTGCTAAAAATATGTCTACTGTTGCATTAAATTACATAAAGTAATCTCTATGCTGAAACATAGAACTTTTAGCCAAAATTATCCCTTATGTTTAGGGATAGGCTTAACTTTGTCCTTTAAATATAATCCTAATCACTATTTGTCCTCTAAGTTTGTAAAACTTGAGCACACTTAGTCTCACAAATAAAGAATATCCACTTTCATTAGAAAACTAATAGCAGAGCACACTGTGATCTGCACGTGATGCTTAATAACCTATAAATCGTCGATATCTTTCCCTTTGAAGAATACCCTTCTTCTCGAATGAACCTTTGCATGTCTGTTACAACAGTAAAAATCCCTAGCATTCTTGATTTATATTCAAGTCTTTAATACTTTGGTTCATTCTAGCAATGATTATTAGGAGCAATGGCATAAGAAATCCTAGTTATAGTGAGTGTACTAGAAGTCTGTAATTCAGTTTTGCACAAAACTACTTCAGCGACTGCTCCTACAAGTCGATATAGCTTTTGATATTTAATTAATTTTCCAGTTCTAGTTGTAGTTTTGGCTCTTCATTTGGACAAACTCACGTGTCAATTGGAGATAATTCATCTCTCGGTAAAAATACTACTACGAAGTAATGGGTTCTCCTTCCTTTTTCTTTCCATATATAATTGTTTTGTGATGCTCTCATTTTTCCTCTATACATTTTCCTTTTTACTACAAAACACACTGCTTTCATTTTCTTTTCCCTATCTTACAACCAAAATCAGATCTTTGCAAGTTATGCTGAAAAATGATATTGTTGTGATTGGAATTTAATGTTGTGACATGTGAAGCGAACTAGTTTCTAGAAAAAGCGGTATTTGTGCATTTCTTATAACATCTATAAGAAGACTCATTGAAGTCTAGTGCATTACAGTTAGTTTTCTAACAGATTTGGTGCTTTATGTTGCTGAGGCTAAATGTGCTCAAGTTTAGCAAATTTAAAGGATAAATAGTGCTCAAGGTTATATTTAAAGGATAAAGTTAAGCTTACCCTCAAAGATAAGAGATAATATTGGCTAAAAACTCCTGAAACATAACTGTGTGAACTTAAAAATCCAACTACTTAAATGAGTTTTAACAATGATGTTGTCTACTTCATGTTACCATTCGAAGAAGCTATTATGCAATTTCTTTTCCCATAGAATCATGAACAATGATATTTCTATCTCATTTATATCCGGAAGTGTCATAGCTATATAAATATATTTGTCACCGTAAGAGTTATTGTGAAGAATAGATATTACGGCGTCTCAAAGATCTAGGATTGGCTAAAGACAAAAGAAAATGCTCTTTGTTAAGTGTAGCACAATATATTTTTATTAGAACTGGCGTTTGACCTTCTTCGTACTCTATAAATCTTTTTGAGGCTTGTTATATTGTAATGGTTAGCAGGAAAAGAAATGCATTTCCTGTACACTTGATTTTGACTAAATTTTGTAGTAGCAATTCCTTGATATGCCGCCGATATAAGTATATAAAGGTCAAGTAGTTATTTTTCTTGACTATTGATGAACTTTATATGTTGTTTATATTATATTTATTTTATTTTATCATTTCAGGTCATGTGATGTTCAAAGACATGGCATGTGGAAGTTATTGTGATCAGGAGTTGGGAGAATCTGTTCGATGTAACTTATTATCGAGCTTATAGCTACTTAATAAAATAATTAATTAGACGCGAAATGTTATTGGATTCAAATAATTTAGCATTCTTTATGTTGTTTACACTCTCAAATTATGGATTTAATGAAATGCATTAAGTTGATTACAGTGAATTATTATTGTTATTATTATTATTATTATTATTATTATGGAATATAAATAGGTACAACATGCATTACAAATGTTGGAATAGTTCTTTCTATATTTTAGCAGCAAATATAAAAACACCAAAATATCCTCTTTTTGTAACAATTAGATTTAATCGTCCATAACAAAAGTCATTAATAGATGAAAAAACCTGAATTCTAAAATCGCTTTAGCGGACATTGTATTTGCCACCAAAAGAGGTACCTTTTATCGGTTATTAAATTGGTTTTAGCGGCAATAATAAAGGCTGCAAGATGTATCACCTTTGGGAATGTCGGGGGGATTTTAATGGTCATTGCAATTGCCGGAAAATAAACGTCGCTGAAACTCAAGGACTTTTATCGGCCATAAAAGGAGTCTTTACCAGCACTTGGTCTAATGGCAGCCAATAGCTCTTCCGACGCCCGTTACAACGACCAAAAACTAATTGCCGGTAAAAGATTTTGCGGCCTTTTTTATTGCCGCTAATAAGTATTTTAATTGCCGCTAAAACCATTTTTTGTTGTAGTGTGAAGGGAAAATTGTTGAGAAGTTATGATCATGGGGATAGTGGATATGACAGAAGGACAATTTTTAGGAAAGGTAATTGGAGGACGAGTGATGGAGCTGCTAGGGTGGTTGGGAAAGCTGTCATAAGCGGGTGGATCTGGAGAGTATGGGGGATCATCTGGCACTATGATCGGAGTTTGGGTAAGGGTAGCATCTAAGAAGCTAGGTAGTGGTGAGGCCCAGTCATCCAAGTATGATACATGTCCGTCATGTGGTATCTTAACATCCTTACCTGTTCAACCAACCCATTGCCCTGTTCAACCAATTGCTTTTGGTCACCAGTATCAATCGACCCAATTCCGTTGTCGTCTGCCATTGCCTTTCGACCTTATGTTGTAGAGAAGAGTTACCACTTTAAGAACCACAAACCAACCACCCTTCTGCTATAATGAAGATAACAAAAGGAACAAAATGAAGTCATCACGTTAGTGTTAGGGCATTTAACATACGATAATCTCACATTATGTGTGATGCACTTAGTCATAATTAACGGTTCAAGAATGAATTCGAGGGTCACAAGGTCACTTGACATCATCCCAATTTGTCCATTTGATTTTTTTTTTTTTTACTTTTCTAGCACTTCTTGGCTTGTTCATTTTCCTTTTCTTTTTTTTTTGTTAGTTTTTTTTTGGATTTTTTTAAAAAAAAATGATTCGATCGAACCCTATGTAGGTTGCCTACGTATCATGACGCCGCATGAATCAGATCTTTGCGTAGTTCGGGAAAATCGAGAATAGAGTAAACAAACTAACGTTCTCTTTTTCTTTTTCTTCTTTCCTTTTTCTTTTTACCTTAATGACTACTCTGATGAGAAAAGAGAAACAAAAGAACCAAATCCTTTTTTTTTTGAATTTTCTAGACTTAATATTCTATAACCTATTCTAAACTCAAGCTTAACGAGCATATATTTTTTCTTTTTTTTTTCTTTTTGAAACAATCACTCTATGAGAAATTATTAAGGAAAAAACCCTACAAGAGAAAAATATTTTTTGATTTTTTAGGAGGACAATCTAAAGAATAAACCAAAGAAAAAATATTTTGAATTTTCATTTGATATCCCTGAAGAAAGATTTCGAAAGGAGAAATGAACAAGATAGAAAATGTTTTTGGATTTCAGTTTTTGATTACCTAAGGAAGAAACTTTAAAGATAAACAAAAGATACAGTATGTTTTTTTCTTCTATGTACAATATCCTAAAGTTCTAGTGAAAATAAAAGATTTTTTTTTTCATTTTGCGTTAATTTCTCAAAGAAGAACCTCAAAAGAAAATCTTTTTGGATTTTTTGAATTAATATCTTGAAAGAAAACTTTTAAAGAGGTACTAAAAGAAAATTCCCTTTTTTTTTGAATTTTTAGTCTTAATATACTAAAGGAAATATAAAAGTAATTTTTATTTTGAGTTGTAGATATTAGCTTTCTAAAGGAAAAGCCACCTCAAAATTTCTTTTTTCTTTTTAATTTCTAGGAATAGTATTTCTAAAGAAAATTCTACCGGAAATATAAAAACGCAAAATATCTTTTTTTTGGATTTTTGATTTATAATGCATTTTTCAAATACAAATTAGGAAATAATAACACAAGACTCGACAAACTTAACTAGACTATGACAGACTCTAGCATCAACTAAATGACTGAATATTACTGTACAACATTAGAAAGTAAAACATGAACAATAGACTCAAAAACATAAAAAGGCTCCTCAGGCAGCTCCTGAATGCAGTGGTCCTTCGGTATCTGTCATGCTCAAACTCCGGTAAGTAGATCTACACCTGTATGAGAAAACTTGAACTAACACTATGTGAGACAATAACATTCCCTACTAGACACATGCAAGACATAGTTGTGACTGTTTTTTTTTAAAATTTTATCCCATGTGGCTAAAAGTAGCTAAAAATGCAAGATTTGGTTAAGACCTTGCGAAGCCAAGAACCTAGACTCACTAGGAAGACCGGACCCTATGTGGATTGCCTACGTATCACGCCCCGAAAGACGAGAATCAGGTATGCGTAGTTCAGGCAGATTGGATATGGGCGAGAATTAAAAAAACAACTAATTTTAGAGAAAAATATATTTTGAAAAATGATGAAACATGTAAACTCTTTTTGGATTTTCTTTTTCCTTTTTTTTTTTTGATTTTTTTTGGGAAAAAGATTGGAAAGCGTAAAATCTTTTTGGATTTTTCATGTTTTTTTTTGTCTTTTTCTTAACAAAAATGTGAAACAAAATATAACTGGGCCCTACTTGCTCTATTTTCACACTTAACCCCTTTTTTCCTTTTTTTTTCTTTTTTCATTTGCCCTCGACTATTATTGGTCCGCCAAATGACCATTTTACCCTTGAAGATTGCAAGTAGCACATAGGATGCATCAGGATGGTCTTTTATTTTTGGGTACACCTGTCCTAGACGGACCCAACCCCTGTGTTGAGTCCCCAAAGTTCAATGCACATGATGCAAACGAACGTGCCTACTAGGGATTCGACATGAGGTTATATTATTCTAAGTTTAAACCTGGGGTTGTGTTCTTGACCTGGCTTACCCGAGCGGACGACTCGAGCCGAAGAGGGGGCAACATACCGGGAGCACGAAAGTCTACCCGGCCTTGTTGTTGGCCCAACCTCGTTCTGTTTGGTATAACTTCTAACAGAAAAGTGGGCCACGCGAACGTGTGCACCATTTTTAGAAGACTTAGAGGGGTGGCATAAGAAGGCAATTTAATATAACTCAAATAATATCAAAGCGGTAAATAAGCGGCAATTAACATATTAGGCCCACAAATACAGTAATATTAAAGAACAATAAAGCCAAGCATAGATTATATTAACAATCTCGAATTCTTGAACCCTGAACCAGAAGTTCGGGGTTCTTATCCCTAGCAGAGTCGCCAGAGCTGTCACACCTCCTTTTTCCTACCACCGAAAAGAGAGTATTAAAAGAGTTTTTTCCAATTTAAGTGACAATCGAATCAAGATTATTTATTTAAAATCAGAGTCGCCACTTGAGATAATTTATGGCGTCCCAAGTCACCGGTTTAGAATCTCGAATCGAGGAAGGTTGACTCTATTTACGGTCTGTGAAAACAGAAATTCGAGTAAGGAATTTTGTTAACCCAGAAAAAGGTGTTAAACATTCCCGGGTTCAGTGGTTGTAGCACGGTCGCTTTGATCATACTTGGCTTAATCAAATTGTCTAGTTGCTCGTTTTGGAACCTATGTGCTTTCACCTATTTCAATTAGGAAATTAACTAAAACGAGTCATGCGTACGTGTACTCATTTCGTTTGGCACGTAAAAAATTATGTCACGCGAACGTGTCCACAATTAATAACACTTTATTATTATTAAGAAGAGTTTAACCGAAGTTGCGTGAATGCATACACCAATTTATTTTTTGGGAATCGTAACTATGTCCCGCGAACGGGTACACAATCGCGATGATAGATTAGAAGCAGGCCTAAAAATTAGCTACAGATATTCATTTTAGAAACCGTAATCATGTCACGCGAACGTGTACATAATCATGATAATAAATTAAAACGCGCCTAAAGGTTCGCCTACCCGGGTGATGACGGCCTAGCATGCTAATAGCGGTCAACTTAATAAAGCAGTCTTCACCTTCAATTCCCAAACCCCACGACCATTTATCATTGCCTTTCCTACTCTAACTTCACTATACAATCAGGAATTCATAAAATAACAATCAACATTCTTAGAGACTTTAAACTGATTTTAAATAAAATAAAATAAACAAATCAAACCAGCAATACTAATGAACAGAACGATTAAAGCCTATCAAACAAAGGTAAGCATGAAACTCATTTAAAAATATTCAAACAACTATGTAAAGGGAAACAAAATGAACCTTTGTTTTCTTCCGAGTTAGTCAAATGGACATTTTATTGATGAATCATCCAAAATTGCAAGTCAAAATATGAACTAGAGAATGACCCCAAATGGAACACGGACTCGACGACCTCGAACGGGATAGCTCAGAGCTGGTAACCAGAACCTCTGACTGGAGCTTCGGACGGGATGGAACAAAGCTAGTAACCGGAACAAATTGCACACAATTTATTGACTCACTATTCTTGAATTCTATCCTTGAACTAAAATAGAACCTCATTCGCGATCCGGAAATACAAAACGAAATTCCCTAGACTTATGGTTTTAGACTGATTTTCTGGTAATCCATAATAGTAGTGATGTTGGTGGTTTATTCCTAATGTTTGGAGATGATTTTAACGGAGGTTTTATGGTGGAATTGATGGGTTTTGGACTAGTTCGAGCTAGAGCTTTGGATCTGGAGATGGTGGTCATTTTCAGGTGGTCTAGCTGTTGTTTCCGGCGAGTTAGAGGCTAGCAGCGGCTGTCCATTCTTGTGTGTCTAGGTCTTGTCCAGCTGGTCTGTTTGTGTTTATGGC